AAATAAAAATTAATCCAGACATATTCAGTTGACTTAAGAGCTACATATCAGCGTATTGTATACAATCCTCAGCTCTTTAAGCTTTCTCATATTTAAAGCACACAGCTATGCCTTGGAGAGTGGGAGTGTGTAAATCAGTCCTGTGATTTAGTTTAATGATGACAAAGTGGAGGCACCAGCATATTTGGAATGCCGGCTTCACTCTCCACCTTTCATCCCCATGAGGGGAAATTTATTCCAGTAAATGTGCATTTTTGATCAAAGAATAAAGAGATCTTAGAAGTTTGAGGGCATTGTGGAAAGTGATTTTTGTGTACCCATTAGTCTTACAAAATGGTTCTGGTGTGTAAAGTGAGCTTTGAAGTAGCCAGCTATTTTCAGAAGTTCAGGAAAGTGACACCAATGTAATCCAGAGCCTGCAGCCACCACTTGCTTGCGATTTCTTGTGACTAGAATGTAAGTTTGGGCACTCTGCAGCGAATCTTCTACATAGACTGGGAAAGGTTACGATGCCCACTGGTTTGGAAAAAAAACCTTTTATGATTTTCTATGTCAGGGAACCTCCTGCTGGAAAATATCTTGTCTGATGGCTTAGTTTGCAATATCATTTGTCACTGCTAAGTGACCAGCTTGTCACTGTCACTGAGAGTGCGCAGCTCAGTGTATTTCTACTATTACCCTACCTTCACTCAACATTTTGGATTACATTTTTTCCTCTACCTTTGACCAGTGTGTTATTTGAAACATGATTCTCATCCATGGGTTGTTTAAACATGGCTTTATTAGCCAGTCTTTTGCTGTGAAGTTGAGTTGCAGATGTTGGACAAGTGGATAATTATGTATAATTAGTATGATGTCATCATGCTTGAATTGTTCTGTTTGCAGGCTGAGGTTGATAAAAACATAGAACTTTTGAAAAAGAAGGACGAGGAACTCAGTTCTGCTCTGGAGAAAATGGAAAATCAGTCTGAAAACAATGATATTGATGAAGTTATCATTCCCACAGCCCCATTGTACAAACAGATCCTAAATCTGTACGCAGAGGAAAATGCTATTGAAGACACTATCTTTTACTTGGGAGAAGCCTTGAGACGGGGAGTAATAGACCTGGATGTCTTCCTGAAGGTATGTCTTCCTTATTCTGCTTTCCAGGATTTTTGAACTTGGTGTTGTAGAGGCACTGAACTTGAAAACAAAAGGGTTTCTCTGTATGTGGGTTAAGATTCTTTATTTTGGCCAGGCTCGGTGGCTCAGCCTGTAATCCCAGCACTTTGGGAGGCCAAGGCGAGTCGATTGCCTGAGCCTGCAGGTTCAAGACCATCCCAGGTAACTTGGCGAGACCTCATCTCTACAATAATTCAAAAGAATTAGCCAGGCATGGTAGTGTGTGCCTGTAGTTCTGACTACTTGGAAGGCTGAGGCAGAAGGATCGCCTGAGCCCAGCAGGTTGATGCTGGGTGGCCGTGAACGTATCACTGCACTCCAGCCTGGGCGAAAGAGTGAGACTCCAACTCAAAAAAAAAAAAGATTCTTTATTTTCCCAAAAGACCGCAAATGAGAAGTATGACTCAGAGCTGTGTCTCCTTACCTACAGAGTACTGATGATTGGTCTGAGTAGGGGAAGGAAAGTGGGCTAGGGACTGCAGTTCTCTACCCACCAGGCAGCTCCAAGATAAATGTAATTCTGTGTGTGGTGGATCAGAAGGCACGATCAGATTTCCACTGGTTCCTTCGGGTCATACCACCTAAATTGAGATCAGTGACTGCCCACCCCCATTTTTTTATTGGCTAATTTTCTTAGAGTTGTATAATTTTAGACCAGTTTTCCCAGGTCAAACAGCTCTTCAAGATACTGGGCTTCCCTTTGAGCCCTCTTGAATGAAGGATGTCTCAGACTTAATGGTACTGTACAGACATGAAAACTTAGTATGCAGAGTTTGGCTACTGCTGTCTGTTGGGTCATGGAGAACATAATTTTAACAGCTGCCTTTTGGATATTTGATCCAGCTGCTGCTGCAGCCTCATTGTACAAGTGAGGCTGGTCAGGTCACCTGCTGATCTTGCCTGTCTCCTCTGTCTTATGGTTGGGGAATGGCCAAACCATGTGCCTTGGAACTGGTGCAAGCACGTGAATGACTGGGTATAAACCAGAGACCCCAGAGAGGACTCATTTTCCTTACAGTCTCCTGCCCGGGTGTCACAGCTCAGGGAAAGATGCATATGGAGAGGCAAGAGAGGTGCTCAGCTAGGCACTGGACTAGGGACAAAAATTGGCCTGTGCTGCTCACTCCTTTCCTTCCCCTTCTTTTGGCCAAAGTGGGGACAGTCATGGTTATCAAAGTTTTTTGGCAACTTGTGTTGGCATCACAGTACAAGTTTCCTTGGCATACTTGTTGGCTCAAGATGTAGCTCAAACTCCTAAGCCAACTCCTGCAATGTGGTGCTTTCCCTGTTGAGCAAGGCTTCATAGTGTAGAGTTTAAAAAGCTACGTGTAGTGAGGTGTCGCTTCCAAAGGAAGGCTGGGGTCATGAGGTTAGGGTTCTTAGATCCCATCTAGGTTACAGTCTGTCTGATACTTCATGCCTGGGCCTGGATCGAAGCCATTCTAAACTCTTGAAACTTTTTTCCCCCCTCCCAGCATGTACGTCTTCTGTCCCGTAAACAGTTCCAGCTGAGGGCACTAATGCAAAAAGCAAGAAAGACTGCTGGTCTCAGTGACCTCTACTGACTTCTCTGATATCAACCGGAGATTCTTAAAGCGTTCTTTTCTTCTCTTCTTTTCTCTTATCAGTAGGTGCCCAGAATAAGTTATTGCAGTTTATCATCCAAGTGTAAAATATTTTGAATCAATAATATATTTTCTGTTTTCTTTTGGTAAAAACTGGCTTTTATTAATGCACTTTCTATCCTCTGTAAACTTTTTGTGCTGAATGTTGGGACTGACTATGCTAAATAAAATTTGTTGCATAATTTTTCTTTTTTGTTGGACTTCTTTAGGAAAGATCCATGAAACCTCCATAAGCCCAGCTTTTCATTTAGCAAACAAAGCATAATATCCATCATAAGTTGGAATCTAATATTATTGATTCTATAGCATATAAAGTGAATTCTGTTCAATATGGGATATGCCAAATAGAAATCTAAATTTTGAGGTATTTGAGGGATTTGTGTGACTCTGTGAAACAACCAGGGTGATACCCTCCTCCCAGCCCTGCTAGATTTGTTTCCTTTCTAGGCCTCACTGAACCATACCTGTTTTTTAATCAAGAAGGAGCAGAGTGACAAGTCCAGACTACACACCTAAGAACTTCTGCTAACTGACCACAATTAAAGGGGCAACAAATGGTTTATGTTGCCACTCTGCTTTTCTTGTCATTTGAAGTTCAGTCTTCCTGGCAAGTGATTCTGTAGCCAGGTTTGTGACCACCCAATGAGCCACTGCAAAGCTCGTCCAGTAGAAGAGAATGTTCTCTGTCAAACTCAGTGCTAGAAAGCTTATCAGGTTACAAAGAAAAGAACATTATGATCTGAGATGTTTTTAAAGTCAGGCAGCCCACTCTATACTTCTCCAAGAGAAGAATGACCAGTTTAGTCTCAGTCATCATTGAGGGGTTTATAAAATTTAGATCTTGTCTTTAAAAACTAAAATGCAGCTGGAATCGGTGGCTCAGCCTGTAATCCCAGCACTTTGGGAGGCCGAGGCAAGTGGATTGTCTGCAGGTTTGAGACCAGCCCAGGCAACTTGGCGAGACCTCATCTCTACAAAAAATCAAAAAAAATTAGCCAGACATGGAAGCGCACACCTGTGGTTTTCTGGCTACTTGGAAGGCTGAGGCGGAAAGATTGCTGGAGCCCAACGGGTTGATGCTAGGGTGGCTATGAGTATGCCACTGCACTCCAGCGTGGACGATGGAGTAAGACTCCAACTCAAAAAACAAAAAACTAAAATGCACTCATAAAAGTTAGAAGAATAAAGACTAGCAAGGTCAAATTAAGTTTTTATTTAGTGCTAAGAACTAACCTTTAGATTCTTTTTTGTGTATATGCTTTTATTTTTACTTTGTATAAGTTACAACTTATTTTATTTTATTTATTGTTTGAGTTGGTATCTCACTCTGTTGCCCAGGCTGGAGTGCAATGGCACACTCACAGCCACCCCAGCGTTGAGTTGCTAGGCTCCTACAATCCTTCCACCTTAACCTTACAAGTAGCCAGAACTTCAGGCACATGCTACCATGCCACAACTTTTTTTTAATCGTACATAAATGAACATAAGTATTAAGCCAGCCATAATGAAAGAATTACCCATGCACCTAATAGAAGAATCAGAATTTCTATAACACAATAAACACATACATTCTTTTGGGCCAGATGACAACTTTATACACACACACAAAGCAAGTACTAGTACATCAGAGGTACCAAAAACACCTCTTTTGATTCAGTCATTTAGGAATTGAAGGGAAAAAAGTATCATCCCTTATGTGGATACTAAATACATGAGCTGGGGGTGGCTAAGGGCTAAGTAGGGCAGCCATTCTTCTCCCTTTCTTTTTTACAACTTTCAGGAATTCAGATTTATTCAAAAGTTTGACAGGTAGACTCCAAAACTACTAGCTCATCTTCAATAACTCTGGAATGCTAGCTGTAAACAGCTTTAAAGCTTGAGATTCTTCTGGATCTGCCAAAGTATTGCTGCACTCTTTTTTTTTTTTTTTTTTGAGTTGGAGTCTCACTCTGTCATCCAGACTGGAGTGCAGTGGCCGCTCCCGGCCACCGCAGCCTCAACCTGCTGGGCTGCGGCGATCCTTCTGCCTCAGCCTTCCAAGTAGCCAAGGAATTACAGGCATGCGCTACCACGCCTGGCTGATTTTTGATTTATTGTAGAGATGAAGTCTCGCCAAGTTGCCCGGGCGGGTCTTGAACCCGTGGGCTCAGGCAATCCACTCACCTCAGCCTCCCAAGGCGCTGGGATTACAGGCTGAGCCACCGAGCCCGGCTATATTGCTGCACTCTTTTGCAGCCTGGCCTCCTCCTCAGCAGTCAGCTTTGCTTTTATGAGGCCTGAGATACCATTCTGTCCCAGGATACATGGAACACTAGGAATATTTCTTCAGTTATCCCATAGAAGCCCTGAAAGTAAAGACCAGAATTACTCCCTTTTCTTTCTTTCTTCTAACAAAGGTCTGCAATATGAGGACACAATTATTTAACAGATTAGTAGTATAAACAGCACCAGGACACAGGAAATTTAAAACCATGATTAGACATATTTACCAGCCAGCTCTCCACACAGGCCCCCACCTCTTGCCCTGTTTGCTGGACCCATCCTCCTTTCCTTATCTCCTTACCCCAAACCTTCCTATCAGGGGACCAATTCTAAATTCCTATGACTTCCTTTCCAGTGATTTGGTTCCATTTTGTTTTAATCTCTCCCATTTAGAGTAGCAGAGGGATCTTACCCATGCCCCAGCTCCCCTCCCCCCAGGGACTAACTACCAATTCTTTTGGGGGCTAGTGCTTGTTTCCTAGTTCTCTCTGCTGGCTGTTAGACAGCAACTGCAAATGCAGCAAGATCTATGCACCATGCTTCCCAATGCTACTGTATATTTGTAGTTAGTTCACTCAGTTTAATAATAAAGATGCAAGAAGGATTACTTTTAACTGGTAAGAAGAAATGTCATACCAGGCCAGGACAAAGGTCTACAAAGATGAGTCTCTCCTTCCCCACCGTGCCCCTCTTCAGCAGCAGCAAAGAACAGACTTTACGAAGACAAGTGCTTCTACTAGGTGGACTCAGAAATTCAAAGTGCCTCAAAAATGTTTTTTACCCCATATTATGTTAAATAATGGTTTTGCAAAACGTGAATATCCTACCTGACTTAGGGTGGAAACAATGCACTCCTAAGATTCTTGAAAATACTTTCCATTAAATCAGCTACAGATAGGCTAACACCCCAAGAAGTATAACCTTTTGTTCGAATAATCTCATAGCCACTGTAGAGTTAGAAGAAATCATGACCATAAGAAGTCAGCTTGGAAGTAACACTTGTCATTGAACATCCACTTTGTGACAAAAACTGACAATGCTACAAAACTAAAATGTTTCCATCAGTAAGTTCTAGAAATTTCTGATAGTGGTTATTTAAAATGAACAGAGTTATGGAGATCAGTACAGAGACGCAGAAATTAATATGACATCAATTCTGCCACTAACATAAACGTAGAGTAAGTGAAAAAATACACTGTCGGTCAACAGGTGAGTCCCTACGATATGCTAGACATTGGAGTAGGTTCAGGAATGAGCAAGACAAAAATCAGTCCCTAACTGCTTAAGAATTTATAATCTGGTGAATATGATCACACAAAAATAAAAGTAGAAGTGCTAATAAAAGTAACAACATATACTTGAGGAGCTAATCTCATCCCTCTAGCAAAATTCAGGCTCACAACTGCCAGGGTACTGAAAATGTCAAACTAACATCACCAGCAAATCGCTTTCTTGTGGACATTTTTCCACTGCTCAGGATCTTCATCAGTTCCTACATCTGAGTTCAGCTGCTTCAGAGGGACACCAGCAATGTTCACTCCACACAGGAACTAAGAGATACCAAAAAACCCATTTATTGTATGGTGTATAGCAGCGTTTTGTTTTTTGTTTTTGATCTTAGCAAAACTATTATAATTACCTTGAGTGGTTTTCACCAGGAACGTTCAATAGAGCTAACAAAAACTTCAGATGTCTGAGCCCCACTCCAGATCTCCTAATCTCCACAGGCGGGGACCCCTAATTCTATCATCTTGGCAAAGATTCTCCCAACAAGAAAGTGGTAGTTTTAAAGTTTCAACTGTAGATAAGTTTTAACTTTTTTCCCTCTGAGTCTTTTTCCATAGCCAGGGTTTATATTACATGAATTTCAAAGGGTTTTTTTTTTGGGGGGGGGTTTAGTTGGAGTCTCACTCAGTCGCCCAGACTGGAGTGCAGCGGCCACTCCCAGCTACCACAGCCTCGACCTGCTGGGCTCCAGCGGTCCTTCCACCTCAGCCTTCCGAGGAGCTGGAACTACAGGCACGCACTACCACGCCCGGCTAATTTTTTTGATTTATTGTAGAGATGAAGTCTACGCCGAGTTGCCCAGGCAGGTCTCGAACCTGTGGGCTCGGGCAATTCACTCATCTCGGCCTCCCAAAGCGCGGGATTACAGGCTGAGCCACCGAGCCCGGCCTCAAAGGTTTTTTTAAAGAAACTAAGGAAAAGAAGGACTGCTGTCACCACCACAGCACCCTTCCTCTTCCCCTTATATTCTCCAGTCATGCTGGTCCCTTCCTCTGAAGAACTCCTGCTACTTGAATTACATTGCTGACCTTTCTAAACTAGAGTGCCCCAAGTTACATACAAACATCATGTTACTGAGTTCTGCAGGTAAGAAAGCATTACTATCCTGGCTATCCATATGTGTGATTGTAGTACCAGTCTCACATTTTTCAAATTTGTATTTGTGATTGTTTTAATTATAAAAATAAATGTTCTAAAAATTAGACTAGAATACTAAAAAGGCCTAAAGTGGAATGAAGTCTTCTGCCCACCCAGGAGCTGTTTTACATTCAATCTATGAATACACAGAGCATGCAGGGCTCAGTGATGCTGTTGGCTTACCACTTGAGTCTCCATGCTCACCAAGGACCAGCCCATGACGGCTTTCAGAGTGGGTCCCAAGCCTCTGCCCAATGAAGTAATGGAAACAGGCTGTGTCCAGATTACAGCCACTTCCAATAACACGGTTTTTTGGGAAATGCACTCAACTTCCAGGCTACATAAGTTAAGATATCCACTAAGAAGAAAAAGTTCAAGTCAGGAAAAGTTCTCCTCTAAAATGATACATTTTTTTTTTTAAGAATTACCTAACTTAAAAATAGTAAGTCCGAGCCAGACTCGGTGGCTTAGCCTGTAATCCCACGCCTTTGGGAGGCTGAGGTGAGTGGATTGCCTGAGCCCGTGGGTTTGAGACCCGCCTGGGCAGCAAGACCTCATCTCTACAGTAAATCAAAAAATCAGCCGGGCGTGGTAGCGCATGCCTGTAATTCCGGCTACTTGGAAGGCTGAGGCAGAAGGATCGCCGGAGCCCAGCAGGTCGAGGCTGCAGTGGCCGGGAGCGTGCCACTGCCCTCCAGCCTGGGCGACAGAGTGAGATTCCAACTCAAAAAAACAAACAAAAAAAAGAGAAATGTGCAAAAAATAATAAGTCCGATGTTGTGGTGTGTGGGAAAGCATACTTCTCTATCCAACTCCAGCTATGCCACAACTCCAAAAGCATCTACCGAATAGAAATTTAAAAATGAAAACCCTTTTTATTGCTACTTTGCATAACCTGGTATGCAGAAACATAGGAAATTTTGAGAAACATGAATAAAGGAATACCCGCTTATCTAGCCTTTTAAATTATTTTTCTCAGAGAATAACTCATTTTCAACAAATAGCTTACTTAAGAGGGGAATAAAAAGAAACAGGTATAAATCCCAGCTACTTGGGAGGCTGAAGCAAAAGGAACGCTTGAGGCCAGCAGTGCTTCATGAGACTAGACTAAGTAAAATAGTGAGACCCCATCTCTAAAAAATTAACTCAGTCAAGTATGAGTCCTAGCTTACTTTGAGAGGCTGAGATGGGAGGATCGCTTGAGCCTAGGCGATCGAGGCTACAGTGAGCTGTGACTGCTCTACTGCTCCAGCCTGTGTGATAGAGCAAGACCCCATCTCTTTAAAAAAATTTTTTTAAATAGCTGAGGCAAGAGGATTGCCTGAATCCAGGGGTGCAAGACCAGCCTGGTCAACTTGGCGAGACCTCATCTCTACAATAAATCAAAAAATTAGCCAGGCATAGTGGCACGTACCTATAGTTCCAGCTACCTGGAAGGCTGAGGCAGAAGGATCCCCGCACTCCAGCCTGGGCAACAGAGACTCCAACTCAAAAAAAAATTAAAAATTAAAAAATAGAATTATCAGGGAAACATAATCAGGCCTTTGTCCCAGTAGGCAAGGGATACATTTTTTACACAGTCTGATGTTTGGGTATGTGAATGGTTTTAAGTATTATTAGCTTTATCAGAATTTTTTCTTCTTGAAATTAATTTTTAAAGTAATTCCAAAAGAATGTCAATGTAGCTATATTAATAGCAAACAAAATAGAACTTTCAACAAGAAAGCACTAATGGGAATACATAGTGATACTACATAATATATGAAACAATTCAACAATGTATAACAAGCATGCATTTAGATATACCTAATACAGCCTCAAAATATACAAAGAAAAATTAGGAATTGTAAGGTGCATTTGATTCAAAACACAATGAACAATTTTAACATAACTTTATGAGAAACTGATAAGTCAAAAAAAGGTTCATAGGGGCCAGGATCAGTGGCTCAGCCTGTAATCCCAGCACTTTGGGAGGCCGAAGTGAGTGGATTGCCTGAGCCTGCGGGTTCGAGACCCACCTGGGCAACTTAGCAAGACCTCATCTCTACAATAAATCAAAAAATCAGCCGGGCGTGGTGGCGCATGCCTGTATTTCCAGCTACTTGGGAGACTGGGGTAATAGAATCCTCTGAGCCCAGCAGGAGGAGGCTTCTTCAGTGGCTGTGAGCATGCCACTGCACTCCAGCCTGGGTGACAGAGTGAGACTCCAACTCAAAAAAAAAAACAAAAAGTGGCACATATACACAATGGAATATTATGCAGCCATAAAGAAGGACAAAATCATGAAATCCACAGCAAGCTGGATAGACTTAGAATCTATAATACTGAGTGATCTTTCACAGAAACAAAGAACTAAGTACCACATGTTCTCACTCAAAAGTGGACCTTGAACAATTATTGTAATACTATAAGAAAAAGATTGGCGCCGGGCTCAGTGGCTCAGCCTGTATTCCCAGCACTTTGGGAGGCTGATTGCCTGAGCCCACAGGTTCGAAACCCACCTGGGCAACTTGGCAAGACCTCATCTCTACAATAAATCAAAAAAATTAGCTGGGTGTGGTAGTGTGCACCTGTAGTTCCAGCTACTTGGAAGGCTGAGGTGGAAGGATTGTCGGAGCTCAGCAGGTCGAGGCTGCGGTGGCTGGGAGCGACCACTGCACTCCAGTCTGGGTGACAGAGTGAGACTCCAACTCAAAAAAAAAAGAAAAAGATGGGCAGCAGTGGTAATCTGCCGGGGGCAGGGGGGCACACCTCATCAACATGGGTACCTGCATAATGAACATTTGTATACCTAGCTCTGAATTGTACCCCACATCTTTAAAAGAGAAAAAAAGGAAAAAAATTTACATCCAAAAAGCTCAACTCCAAGTAGCATAAACTAAAAGAAATTCACACTAGACTCATCACAGTCAAACTGTTAAAAGCCAAATAAAAAACATTGGAGGCCAGGCTCAGTGACTCAGTCTGTAATCTCAGCACTGTGGGAGGCCAAGGTGAATGGACTGCCTGAACCAGCAGGTGAGACCAGCCCAGGCAACTTGGTGAGACCTCGTCTCTACAATAAATCAAAAATTAGCCGGGAGTGGTATGCCTGTAATTCTGACTACTTGGAAGGCTGAGGCGGACGGATCACCCTGGAGCCCAGCAGGTCATTGCTGGGTTGGCCATGAGCATGCCACTGCACTCCAGCCTGCACTCCAGACTCCAACTGAAAACAAACAAAAATATCAGAAACAGCAAGAGACAATTTACTGAATATAAAAGAACCAAATAAGTCAACAGCTGATTTCTAATCAGGAACAACTGAAGCCATAAGACAGGTGGATGGCATTCAAAGTGCTAGAAGAAAAACAACTGAGGTGCCAGCCTTTGTCTGTCTGCGGGCGCGCACCGCTGCGGTGCTCAGGAACAGCCCATGGAAGAATCATTTGAAGAGGTGGTGACTGAAGTCATACAACAGGAGTGGACATGTTTGGATTTCCAACAGCTACCCTGCTGGACTGTCATGGAAGATATACCCAGAATGTAGCATTCTTCAATGTGATGACTGAAGCCCACCACAAGTATGACCACTCTGAGGCCACAGGATCTTCGAGCTGGGATTTTCAGAATTCTTTCAGAAGAGAGAAGCTGGAACAAAAATCCCCAGATTCTAAGACACTACAGGAAGATTCACCTAGAGTAAGGCAGAAGGTCTATGAGTGCCAGGAGTGTGGAAAATCCTTCTGGCAAGAAGGTAGTCTAACATTACATGAAAGAATCCACACTGGTCAAAAGCCTTTTGAGTGTACCCACTGTGGAAAAAGCTTCAGGGCCAAAGGTAATCTTGTTACACATCAGCAGATACACACAGGAGAGAAGCCCTATCAATGCAAGGAGTGTGGGAAAAGCTTCAGTCAGCGAGGTAGTCTGGCTGTCCATGAGAGACTCCACACTGGACAGAAACCCTACGAGTGTGCTATTTGTCAGAGAAGCTTCAGGAATCAAAGTAACCTTGCTGTTCACAGAAGAGTTCACAGTGGTGAGAAGCCCTATAGATGTGATCAATGTGGAAAAGCCTTCAGTCAGAAAGAAAACTTAATTGTTCACATCAGAGTTCATATGGGCCTGAAGCCTTATGCCTGTACCCAGTGCAGGAAGAGTTTCCACACTAGGGGAAACTGTATTCTGCATGGCAAAATCCACACAGGAGAGACGCCCTATCTTTGCAACCAATGTGGAAAAAGCTTCACTCAGAGAGGGAGTCTGGCCGTACACCAGCAAAGCTGCTCACAAAGGCTCACCCTTTGACCACTTTCTTCAAAACGTTCTCTGTATGAATCACAAGTACAGAATCTTCTGAGACCAAGCAACCTATCCAATTCTGTAGAATGAATGGAGAATCTTTCAGAAAGACCACCATTGGGTAGGGCAAACTGACTTTTTTCCCTCCCAAATGAGTATGAAAAATAAATGTCTTGTTTATTATCATTAAAAAGAAAGAAAGAAAGAAAAACAACCAAGAGGCCGGGGTGGTGGCTCAAGCCTATAATTCCAGAACTTTGGGGAGCCGAGGAAAGAGGATTGCCTGAGCCCAGTCAGGGGTTCAAGACCAGCCTGGGCAACATGGTGAGACCATGTCGCTACAATAAATCAAAAAATTAGCTGGGTGTGGTGGTGCCCACCTGCAGTTCCAGCTACTTGGAAGACTGACATGGAAGGATCACCTGAACCCAGCAGGTTGAGGCTGAGGTGGCCACAAGAGTGCCACTGCACTTCAGCCTAGGTGACAGAATGAGTCTCCAACTCAGGGGAAGAAAAAAAAACAACAACCAGGAATCCTATAGCTAGCAAACCTGTATTTCAAAATTGAGCACAAAATATAGTCCCAAATAAAGACGGAGAATTCATTGCTAGCAGCACACCTATCTTACAAGAAATGCTAAAGGTTGAAAGGAAGAAACATCAGACAATTATTCAAACTGAAAAGAAATAAAAAGCACTGACAAATATTGTATAATTTATATATAATGTACATATACCCCACACCACGCCCTAATTTAAAACAACTGCATAAAACAACATAAGATTTAATTGTTGGGTTTATAAGATACAGAAATATAATGTATTTGACAGTAACAACTGTTTTAGTCCATTAGTGCTACTATAAACAAATAATCAAACAATAAGGAAATCTGGGGATGGAGAGACACCCCTTATCAACAAGAGTGCCTGGACAAAGCATATTTGTATACCTAACCCTTAACTGTACCCCACAATATCAAAATAAAAAATACTGATATATTAAAAAAAAGAAAGAAAGAAAGAAAGAAAGAGAAGACTTGAACACTACTATCAACCAAACAGACCCAAGGGACATCTGTGGCACCTCCAACAACATTCTGAAGTGTACATGTAAAGACAAAAACTACTGAATCTAAATCAAATGTTTTCCAGGACAGACCATACACTAGTCCACAAAATGAGTCTCAACAAATTCAAAAGAATTGAAATCATACTAAGCACATTCTCAGAACACAAGAATAAAACTTGAAATCAACAACACGAGGAAATGTGAGAAATGTATAAATACTTGGAAATTAAGCATGTGCCCCTAAGTAATCAATGGGTCAAGAAAAAATCATAAGAGAAATTTTCAAATATTTGAAATGAGTGAAAACAAAAACATAAGATAACAAACTTTATGGGATGCAGCTTATGCAGTTCTTAGGAAAATTAACAGCTGTAAATACGCATAGAAAACAAGAAAGATCTCACATCAATAACCTAAGAAACAAGAAGGGAAAAAAAAGGCACATTAAGCCCAAAGAAAACAGAAGAAAATAAATAAAAATAAAAGTCAACACAGTAAAGTACTGACACCAAAAACTGCTTCTTTGAAAAGATCAACAAAATTGAAAAACCCAGACTGGCCAAGGACTGACCAAGGAAAAAAGGTAAAAAGACAAATTACTAAAAGCAGCCGGGCTCAGTGGCTCAGCCTGTAATCCCACACCTTGGGAGGCTGAGGTGAGTGGATTGCCTGAGCCCGTGAGTTCGAGACCCACCTGGGCAACTTGGCAAGACCTCATCTCTACAATAAATCAAAAAACTAGCCAGGCATGGTAGCGCACGTCTGTAGTTCCAGCTACTTGGAAGGCTGAGGTGGAAGGATCACTGGAGCACAGCAGGTCGAGGCTGCGGTGGCCGGGAGCGGCCACTGCACTCCAGTCTGGATGACAGAGTGAGACTCCAACTCAAAAAAATAAATAAATAAATACTAAAAGCAAGAATGAAAGAGGGCACCATTACTACTGACTTTAAAGAAACAGACAGGATTATATGGAAATATGAACCTCAACAAACCAACAAACTAGATGATTTACATAAAATGTATAAATTTCTATAAGGACAAAAACTATAGAAGCTAATAAATAGAAAATCTAAATAGACCTACAAGTAAAGATGTTGAATCAGTAATTTTAAAATCTTTTCAAAAGCAAAGGTTGAGCTCAGGTGGCTTCACTGGAGAATTCTACCAAACAATTAAAGAATTAATACCAACCAGTCCTTCACAAAATCTTCCACAGAATGAAAGAGGGAACACACTATTCATGTTATGAGGCCAGTATTACCCTGATACCAAAGGCAAAGACACCTCAAGAATATTATAGAACAATATCCCTCAAGAATATAGATTTAAACAGCCTCAAGGAAATGCTAGCAGACCAAATCCAGCAACATTAAAGGATTCTTATACATCATGACACAGTGTGGGATTTATCCCAGAAATGGTTTAACATCCCAAAATCAATTGGCAAAGTACAAAAAACATATGACCGCCTCAGACACAGAAAAGACATTTGACAAAATCCAACACCCACTCATGATTAAAACAAACTAGGAATACAACTTCCTTAACATGATAAAGAGAATCTATGAATAACTCACTGATAATGTTGTACTTAATCATGAAAGACTAAATGCTTTTCTCCTAAAAGTGGGAACAAAACAGGGATGCCAACTCTCACCACTTCCATGAAATAAATGCTGTATTGGAGGTTCTAGCCAAAGCAATTAGGCAAGAAAAAGAAATAAAATGCATCCTGATCAGAAAGGAAAAATGAAACAATTCACAGACAATGTGATGTAGTATATAGGAAATCCTAAGGAACTGCTAAAATATTAGGACTAATGAATTCAGCACAATGACAAGACACAATATGGACATACAGAAATCAACTACATCTCTATATACTTGCAGTACTCCAAAAATAAAGTTAGGAAAACAATTCCATTCGTGATAGCATCCAAAAAAATAAAATACTCAGGAATAAATTTAACAAAGGAGGAGATTTGTACACTGAAAACTATAAAACACTGCTGAAAGAAATTAAAGACCTTTGCAATTTGAAACTTATGAAGTATTTTTTTAAAAGACCTAAATAAGTTGAAAGACATCTATGTGCATCAATCAGAAGACTTAATATTGTTAAGATGGAAGTAAATACTACCAAAACTATTTACAGATTCAATGCAATCGCTATCAAAATCCTTGTGGACTTTTTTACAAATGTTGACAAACTGATTCTTAAATTCATATGGAAATGCAAAGGACGTGGAAGAGCCAAAATAAATCTTGAAAAGGAACAAAATCAGAGGACTTAACACCTCCCAATTTCAGAACCTACCACAAAGCTACAGTAATCAATACACTTCTAAATACTATGCAGTGAACTTCATATAAGTTCAAAATAAAAGAAGACGGGCTTGGTGTTGTGGTCATGCCTGTAACTTTGAGGGTCAAAGGCAGGAGGATTGCTTGAGTCCAGGAGTTTGATACCAGCCTGGGCTACACAGCAAGACCTCATCTCCACAAAAAATAAAAAAATTAGCGGCATGTGGTAGTAAACACCTGTACCCACGGCTGCTCAGGAGACTGAGGCAGAAGTATGCCTGAGCCCAGGAGGTCAAGGCTGTGGTGAGTATGATCATGCCACTGCACTCCGCCCTGGACCAGAGAGTGAGACCCCCTACTCATAAAATAAAATAAAATTTTAAAAAGACTGAGAAAAATGTATATACCAAATATACTATAAACCATAAAATAAAAAATGTAAATGGTTACCTATAAGGGGGTGTAGGCTATTAGGGAAAGGGGCACAGAGACAGAAGCTAGACTTCATTGAATAAGTCCTTTTCAATAAATTGAACACTGGATCTATGTAAATATTTTATAAAATTGTGAAACAAAATTTAAATAGCAGTTTCTCAGTATCAAAATTTAAATGTTAGAATAAACTTAATCATGTACATTCAGTTTTGGCCTATCCAGAGAGACAAACTATTCGAAATGACTTTAGAATACAGTAATTTGAATATCCTTAATTACTGAGCAACAGACTCATAATCAGCTATCTGTCTGACATTTTCTCTTGATTATCTTTTCAGGTATCTCAAATTTAACATCCCATTTGGAAATCTTGATTTTTTTCTTCTCTACACCTAACATCACTCTTACATTCCTCACTGACACCTGACTCCCATCCCATTGAAAGCATCCCAACCCAGGTAAATGGAACTACCAGTAACTCAAAGGAAACATCTAGAAGTTGTTTTTTTTTTTCATTAGTATTATCTTTTTAATAGCTTTGGGCATTTAATTTTTATTTTAAAGATGTGGGATACAATTCAGGGTTAGATATACAAATGTTCATTATGCAGTTACCATTGGTGATGAGGTGTGCCCCTCCCTCCCCTGGCAGTTTCTCTCAACTGCCAATCTCACCACCCCTCCCCTGGCAGTTTACCACTACTGCCAATAGAAGGTATTTTTGATTCATCCCTTTCCATCACACACAACCTATCAACAGTCCTGCACATTTTATCTCCACCATACATCTTGAATTAGGCCACCTTGCATGTGCACCAGTAAGGAGTCTAGTACACTTTTGGTAGAGCTATGGTACTACCTTTACTTTTCTCACAGTAATCTGGAAAACAAACCTCAGCCTTCAGAATGGAAACCTTGAAGGCCCTATGTTTAAGCAAAGTATCTTTTCATACACACTATTTTTTTTTATTTTTATTTTTTTTGAGTTGAAGTCTCACTCCATCGTCCAGGCTGGATTGCAGTGGCACACTCATGGCCACTCCAGTGTCGACCTGCAGCACCAGCGATCCTTCTACCTCAGCCTTCCAAGTAGCCAGAACTACAAGTGCATGCTACCATGCCTGGCTAAATTTTTTTTATTTATTGTAGAGACAAGGTCTTGCCCAATAACCCGGGCTGGTCTCGAACCCACAGGCTCAGAGAATCCACTCACCTCAGCCTCCCAAAGTGCTGGATTTCAGGCTGAGCCACCGAGCCTGGCCCATACACACTACTATTTAAAGAAACCACTACTGTATATACACTGATTACAACTGTACAAAGTACATGTTACAGTAACAAAACAGGAAGAGATTCTGGAAGTATATTGATAGTTTAAGATTTAATACTCATTAAATTCCTTTTCTCTAAGTTACTAAACTCAGTCCCCCCCCCCCAAATTCTTCACTGAACAAAGTAAAGCTGAGCTGGATTGGTAACAATAATCAGCTTGCAGTGGGGACTGTGCTGGGTAATTTTGGGGTTCATTAATTTAAAGATGGACACATTTCACTGGACTAAATCAAGGCGTGTTTCTCCTTTTTTCTGGTGTGCACCTGCTGTGATAATCACTATGTTGGAGTTTGCAGTGACAAAGTAGTCTGGGGAAAGATTGGAAGAAAAAATAGAATAAAAGAACATCTATCATTTCCTATTCACCTCAACCACCACGCTATTTTTACCAAAGAAATAACCCTTAAATCTTCCACTTATGCCTGTACTATTCTTTTAATTCAGGAGTACTATGTTTTCTTTGTACATTTTTAAAAACAGAAACCTTTTAAACTGGCTGCAGTGGTGCATGCCTTGAACCCAGAAGTTCAAGTCTAGTCTGGACAACATATTGAGACCTTGTCTCTTAAAAATATAATAAAAAATTTTTAAAACCTGCAAAAATACCTCTAAGCCTTTCTTTAGAGTAAGGGGGTCAAGGCTGGACATGGTGGTTCACACTGGCAATCCCAGCACTTTGAGAGACCAAAACAGTAGGACTGCTTGAGTCCAGGAGTTCAAGATCAGCCTGGGCAATATAGCAAGACCTTGTCTCTAAAAAATGGCCGGGCTCGGTGGCTCAGCCTGTAATCCTGCGCCTTTGGGAGACTGAGGTGAGTGGATTGCCTGAGCCCACGGGTTCGAGACCCG